GTTACTTCCCATCTGATTTCATATCTCCATTTGGAGATGCGGTTTCCCATTATTTGCTGAACCTTGTCTAAATCGCATCCCCATCGTTTTCTTTTTCAGGGAGGAACAAATTGAGGTGTTTCGGGGAGAAGAGGTTTCACACCCTTTGTGCCCCCCCTCGACCGCGTCGCAGTCAGCTTTAGTATGTGGGATGTTCGGTCGACGACTCCATCGAGAGCATGCGTGATGCCCACTAATCCTTAACTCATCTTCCTCTTTTTCTACACAGCAACATGGTGTGCAAGCTATGCTTGCACCAGCAAAACAACCAAAAATACTAGCCGACCCGAAGGTTGGGCTGCAACATTCTACTGCTTCGCCTCAAGAAGTTGTGGACATGCAGGGCAGTGATAGCTGCATGTTTCTTAAAGGGCCCTTGTGGTTGTTTTCGTTTTATATGGGAACTTGCCCAACAGTCCGCCGCATTTTGTCTTCACTTCCCAAAGCTTGGGGAAGTTCGGGACTGCAAAGCCAACGCTTTTCGCGCGATGAAAGATCCACTGCACCGGTGCACCGGTTCGGCCAAAGGGGTCTGGTAGGCGGCCTGGTTCATCGTGACTCCTTGGGTGTGAAGAAGTCCTATGGAGCGCCCCAGGCAGGGGAATTCAGAGATGCACCACGAAGAATCTTTGGGGAGCCGGCTTGTTTGCGCAAGCCATCAGTTTTGCATTGTGTTTGTGGAGACTTGGCGCCAAAGGCCATCCGGTTCCTCAGCCTTTTAGCCTTTTAGTGTTTAGTGGAGATGTCCATTTAACCAACTAAAGGCTAAACTGTTGGCGGGGGCTCCGGTGCGCTTCCGCGGTTGTTTGGAGGGACTGGGGCACCAGACGGTCGGTGCCTGGTCATTGCCAGCTCCGCCAAAGGGGACTTGGGTGGTTCAAGGTCCAAGCTTGGGCCTGGGGGGAGGGGGGGTTCTCTTTTGTGCAACTTGCTTGGCCCTTCTTGATGCTTCTGGTGTGCCGTTGGAGACCCAAGGCTTTTTATTAGTATTTTCGCGAGGCTGATGGTGTGCCCAGTCTAGTTTTTTCACCGAGTATGCGGCTCTTTCTCAGGGAACTGCGCGACTCAATCTGATGGATCCAAAATTGAAGAGCGAAGAGCCTCCGAACAGTTTTCTGTGGGATCTGCAATCTTAGATCTAACGGACAACTGCATCATTCGGATATGGGCGGTGCTTATGTGTGCGTGTGCGCGTTCCAGCCCCCAGTTCCCAACCGTTTGACCAATATGTTGAATTGGTCGCAGGTGGTTCTTCCAATTGGACTATATAAACTCTTATGATCGACGATGGTTGGGCCGAGATTGGTGCAGGGTCCCGTCGAAATTTGCCTTTCTACTGGCCCCCCAAGTGCTTCCATAGGAATACTTCCGTCCAAACTGAAAAGGCAGGGGATGGAAAGTAACGATGGCTGAGCAGACGGACTCCAAGCGTAGCAGTCTGGGCGCCTGCTCCAGTGATCTCAACCCGGAGGGCCCCGCTTCCAGGACTCTCCGGGCGATGGGGCGGACTCGGCAGTGCAGTGGATGACAGCGGGCCGGGGCTTGTTGCACGAGGAGTTGGGAGTCGAAACTGGGTCTCTGTGTGGGATCCCTAAAAAAATGTTGCACAAATGATCGGCCGCCTTGTAATTAAATGGGCTGCTGCCTTGCCTGTTACCACCAAAAATCCATGACAGTTGAGGATTTCTTATGTGTGAATTTGTGAAAAGGCTTGGCCAAAACGAATCGACCTTATTTGTTCATTCCCATTTTGGCAGCAAGGTTTTGTCTCTTTCAACATTGTCCTGTGCACTTTCATGCTTGTTGGTGGAAGACTTGTTTGAGTGGGGAATGGGGGACTTCATCAAATTTGGGCCGATGATGGTGACCTCACAAGAGGGACTTGCGACTGCGTCCATGTCGCGATGTTCGCCCGAGGAGATGTGGCGCACTGGTGACACCTTGGACAGCACCGACCAGGAGTTGTTTCAGATTCTTGCCTGCCTTGGCAGCAGGGTTGGGCTATTTTGTTCCAGCAAGCCTCTGCTCCGCTTTGAAAGGAAGCCAAAAGAAGAATCGGTGTTTGAAGTTTAAGCTTGATGGAACCAGGGGTTGGTCCAGCCCTTGGCAGACTTGGCGAATCCTTTGGCCGTCCACTTGAACTGCGGCAGGGAAGCTTTGGGAGGCCTCCAGAGAGGTCCACGCCCATTTCGGTTTTGGGATTTCCCGCCTTTGACACCTCCGGCACCTTGCAACCCTTGAGGTCGGATGTGCGTTGATCGGAAACCAGGGCCATCGAAGCGGTGGTGGTTGTCGTATTGGAATCCTCGTATTGGTTGTCCCCGGTCCGACCAATCAAATCCAAAACCATCGCTGAAAGCCCTACACTTGTGTCAAAGCAAAGCACCCTTCTTACTTCAAAGGGCGTCAGAAGGGAACCAACCCTAGTTTTGACTTCACCGTCCCTGGCATGCACACGGTTCTTGGCTAGCATACCAATTGATTCACTCCCGAGAGCCACACCTACACAACTAAAAGCTTAGACTTCACCAGCACGTGTGTCAGACACAACCAACAGCGAACATTCAAATTACTGTGCCAGAAACAGCCAACTGAGGGTGCACACGTAGCTATGTGAGCAAGACACAGCTCTCAGACTTGAAGGCACAGCCAGCAACTCACATGCGAGAAGCTCTGTTTGTGAAAGGCGCAACTATGGCCTCGGAACACAGAAACAAAGAAGCACACACACAGATAGACGACAGACACGGAGACAGAGACAGAGACAGTTTGGGTCCACTCATTTTGCGAAGGCTCCCACATGGCTCCCACATGTGCTCTATCTGAACATCTCCTCCCCTGCACAACGAAAGCTCAGTTGGCAAGGCTGGTTCTCCCAACCACATCAGGAAATACAAGACCAACTTCTCTTTCTGGTTGGGAGTGTCGTCCTCTAACTGTTTTCGGTTTTGGATTCCCATTGTCCTGGTTCAGAGTTCATGGTCCCATTGCTTTTTTGATTGGCTTACAGGGCCCATGGTTCTATGTTTCCAGGGTCTGGGTCAAGACTCTCAAGACGTGCCACGTGCCACGGCTGTTCCAATGCCGCCACTTGCGGCCTTCCGGTGGCAAATGCCCGGCGCCGCGCTTTTTTTTTTTTGGTTTGCGAAGACCATAGGGTTGATGAATATTCTTCAAAGGCCCCAAAATGACCATGGGTAACTTGGTAACTTCCCTTTCGGTTGTGAGAGTCATCTGGTCTTCCTATCGGTCACCCCAGGGAAAGGACCTTTTGATCAACCTCCATATGCCATAGGATATGGGTCAACCTGCCGAAGAAGCACAAGATGGTGGATCCCAAGATGCAGATGCTGGGGGAGTCAAAGCGAGCAGAGGCTACTGTGCCACTGGGTGGTTTGCCCACCAAGGTCGAGGAGAGAGGCGAGTGGTGGGTCCATGCAAATGGGCGACACTACCGGTGATTGTTTGCTGGTTTTGTCAAACTGGACCCGTGAACATGGTTCTTGCTCTCGATGGTTCGCTTCCTGGACTGACACTATGTGCCAAAACCAGCCTGGGACCGGCCCCTTCTCTATGGTGTCTTGTTCGCTTCCTAAAAATATTTCCCCAACAGGGTTCACAGTTTTGACGCAGCCAGGGGCAAACAAATGGCTGTTAGGCAGGACTTTTGCTCCTCATTGTTTTAGGTGCCTTTTGAATCCCTACCCGTGGAACATTTCTTGTTTGCACGTGCACATGAGCGGCGGTTTCTCCGCGCTGTGGGGGCGCCAACGGCACTTGTTCGTTAGGTCGCTGGTTGCTTCTTTGTCAAGACTTATCAATATCTGAGTCCACTTAAGCAAACAAGTTGGAGCCAGTGACCAATCCTGAAAAGCAGAATGCTGGCCCAAACAAGCAGAATGCGCCATTGTCTCATTTGGTTTTGTGCCTTGTACCAACAGTAAACATCCCCTTTCCGAGGCGTTTGGTGCCAAGCGGGTTGGATCCCAGAGCCAAAACAGCAGGTCCAACCGCCGAAAGGTAAGCCAAGATCCCAAAGCCAGTGAACCAGACCACTTTTCCGCAGATCCAGAAAAATATGGAAAGGTAGTCAGTATTTCCAGGAATTCCTTGGAGCTAATCCCTAGGTTTCAACCCCATTAGAAAATGGCTGACCCAATTTCGATGACAACAATCCTTAGGTACACAAATGTGGTCATATGAACACCCCATTGTTTTAATGGTGGTTTGAACCCCAGAGGTAATCTTAATCTTTGAAACTCAAATGGCTGTGGGTCAAAATTAAGGAGCCAGGATTACGCAGGTTTTAGCCTTTGGTTCTATGAAGGTGCCATTTTGGTACATTCAGAGAAAAAGTCAGAAGGAGCATGTTTCTTTTTGGCCACAAGGACTATCTCAAGGGATCCGAGCTCAATGTGTTTGGATTCCGGAAGGCCAACAAAACGCGGAGCGGCAGCACGTGTTTTGGGCTCGGCCTGATTTGGAGGCTACCCCCTTTTTGGATGGTTTTACAGGGAAGCCAAAAGGAAAACTCCCAGCATCTTTAAAGGCTCGTTTGAACATTGACAGACCCACATAGCACATGGCGACATGAAATATCGTGGGGGAATGGTTTCATGTTTCCAAGCTCCCCCTGAATGAAGCACCCAGGTGTCAGTTTTGCTGTTTGCAGGATATGGGCCTGGGCGGGCGTGGGTCCAGAAGACCGCAAATTTAAGTCCATTTTTCCATTTCGCATGGTTCCATTGTACCTATTTTGACCCACAGCCACTTCTTTCCCTGGAGGTTGGGGAGATCTTTCCCTGGAACATCGCACCCTGGTTGTCTAAATATTTTTACATGGGCCATTGTTGTGGGCCATTAACTGTTCAGAAACACATAGCCCTATACCACTTACATAATGGGTATACAGCGATCGTGTTGCCCTGGCAGTTTGTGGTGAACATCGATCGTTGGATGGCAGGCCCGGTGCCCAGTGCCTCGCCCTCGCCCAACGTCACCGTGCGCGTCATCGCCGGGGAGGCGGATGGCGTGACCAGCCCGGTGGAGACCTACTCAGGCGCCATCGGCCGACGCGGGGCCTGGAAGACGGCGGGGCAAATGAAGAGCTGTTGGTTTGGGGGACATACCTGAATTCAAGGAGGGATACCTGAATTCAAGGTGGCTAATGAGAATACTCAGATATGTGTGCGAGTGTGTGTGCGCTTGTTGACACCGCGGAATCTTGCAGCTAGTTGCTGAGCAAACACGTCCGAAATGCCCCTTTTCACACATCCCCGTAGCATTCTCGGCCGTCTCCATTTTCCCAAGGTCCCATTTTGGGGATTCCATTTTATTGAGCACCATGTTTCCATGAGGTGCCCTTTTTTGGGATTGCATTTTGGAGCCTCTCTAGGGATGATTCCCCATTCTTTTTCAACCATCGTTCTTTTGAAAAACCGGCAGTTTCCCCCTGATTTTTTTGCTGGTTTCCTGAAAAGAAGGATCCCTGGACAGAATGGAAATGGAAGGTGCCCCTCTCGCGAGCCTCGCGACAAGTCGCCGGACGAACGAACTGAGACCTGGCGATTTTGCACATCACGTTGGGCGCCAAAGCACGCTGGGCCTGGCGGCTGCCGAAGGGCTGGGGCTGCCTGCTGCGCCTGCCATGGGGAGGGGAACGGGCCGATGGCCGGGCGGCGTCGTTTGGGAAATGGAAACGAAGACTAGCGGCGTAAACGTCTAAAAAAGAAGGAATCCCCAAAGAGGTGCTCCTCAGAAAGAAAAGGAATTTCCCAAAGAGGTGCTCCAAAAAAGAAGGAATTTCCTCCAAGATGGGACCTTGCAATAGGAAACGAAGACCAAAACCCCAGCTGCTTAACTTTGAGCCACACCCATCTTGATCTTGGTGAGAACCCACGAATCCAACCACAAAACCTCTAAGCAAATTGTGTTGCCACTGTGACGGATTTGGCAGAAGTCATCTGTCATGTTCAATCAGATATGTGTGATTGGTTGCTTGACCTTATTTCGGGTGGATCTTGAAGTCTTGGACCTTTAAAACTGGGTTGCCTTTCGTTGGCTGCACCTCGTGCCTTTTGGCCGGTACCACTTTCTGGGCGTGGCAAATAGCCGCCAAGAACCTGGGAGCCACCAAGTTGGGAACGAGGACCAGGCTGCAAGCGACGCAAGGGGGTTGTGGTAAAAATGGAACGCGACGAGCCATTCTCTTCAACTGGGGAGACACTCGAACCTGGAAAAGTGACGAACCATCCGTCCCTGGGATTTGTTCTGTCCAACATTGCGCAGTTGGGGTGCTTGTGGGAACCGAATTCACGAAGCATAACGCTGCAAAGTGCCATGTGATCCTTCCAGATCCAGCGCTCTGCGCATCACGTGCTTGACCCCCCACTATGAACGTAGATGCATCTTCAAGTCTAGTTCTTTTGAACGCTGAACAAACTTCACCCCTGGCAAGGAGGGCACTAGTCTAGGGCCTTTTTGCGCGGGCGCGACTCGAGCTAGGCATGGCATTGACGTCAATGCGTGGTGCTTCAGCGAAGCAACACCCGAGGGTTTTGGAGGGTGTCATTGGCTTCTCTTGGGCTCCACTTCCCTGAAGTGCCGCGAAACGGCCCTGGTGCACGTTTGAGGGTCCGCGAGCCTTCGCGGGGTTGGACATATTGAGATAAACCAACAGCATACTTTCGGGAGGAGGGGGTAGGGAACACTACCGTTCCATTGTCCACTTCCAGGATTGTAATGAGAATTCAACTGGGATGCCATTAAAAAAAAAAAAAAAAAAAAAAAAAAAAACAGAAAAAACACTAGGGGTTAAACTTATGGGTGAGTTAAACGACCTCACACGACCTCACCCCCAGAACATTTCGGGGCCGGATTCAAGTTATTTGGATCCCAGCCCCAGCTCTTTTGGGGCCTTGTGGTCCCCTTTTCTTGCTGATGCTTAGTAGGGAATGTGGGACTGAACCCAGGGATTCCCTTAAAGGAAACCACCAGTTGGATGGTTTATAGGGGGTCATTCCATCTCTCTTCCCTACTGAGCACAGGGAGTTGGTCGCTGAGGTACACCCGGCGTGGGGAAGCGACGCTCGGGGAGGAGACGCTTCCAGTGCATCACACGGCGAAACTGGCGCGCAGCGACACTGAGGAGGATGGGAGATGGTTCCTATCGCAACGCCCAAAAGCTGCATCAGGCATTTTCTCACTTGCCCAAAGCGAATCGACCTTCTAACCTTTCGGTTTTCCAATTTTGGCCCATTTTTAATCATGACCCCAACAGGTGAACCTCTTATTTCCAGGTCTTTTGGACAACTGAGCTTGAGGTGATACTGCCTGGTATGGTAGAAGGCCTATTACCGTCATAAGTATTCTGGAAGTGGTTTCGAGCGCTCAATTGAGCTGTGCTAGAAAGGCCCCTCCCCCTTACAAACACATCTTTCGATTCTTCCCGATTTTTCGATTCTTCCTGTTAAATCAACCTGAGAAAGGATACCCTCCAAAAAACGCGCATGAGGTTGAAGCCGGTGTTCCCCGTTCGGTTGCACCCTCCAAATTCCTTACAAGCGGCTTCTCCACTTGTGGTGGTGGAAAGTTGGTTTTAGGTTGCCAGTTGAGGTACCAACTTCGGAATCAACCAGCTTGGTATCTACAACAAGGAATCATTTCCACACAGGGTGAAGCTGGTGTTGGCTTGGATCGATTTGGATTGCTTGGTGTAAGTCTGAATTGGTTTGGCGCGTTTTTTTTGGATTGGGTGTCCCAAGATCGTGATCCGGCTCGCAACCGAGCTGTTCGGTGTCCCCTATTTAGGGTTTGTCTAGACCTGCCAACTATTTAGTTGGCCGTCAAACAAAGATGCGGTTCCAGCTCTATATCTCCAACCTTTACACACCAACTCTTGGGAAGGCAAATGCAATTAGGCAAGTTTTTGTGTGTGTCCTGAGAGGATCTCATCCTCTCCTCCAGCGAAGGTGCGGACATCTTGCTGCTGGCAGGCAGACGGGGGTCCTGTGGTGGCGACTTGAGCGCTTGGAAAACGGGACTTGAGGGCTGGAAAGCTTTGAAGAGTATTCCCGTCCACCAACAGTTCTCCATGATACTGCCGACCCAGGATTGATGAACCCCTGGTTGATTAATGGGCAGTGTCCCATTTGAGAGGATTCGAATCCTGCCATTGGGGGGAACGCCCGGAAGCCGGCCCCGAATCCCGGCCCTAATCCGCCAGGCCTGGGTCGACACTGAGAAACATGAAACCCGAGGGCTCGGATCCCTTCAAACAGAGCTTTCTCTCAAAAGGTTTGCTTGAAGTTGCAGGAGTGAAGTGCAGTTGGCCTCAGGCTTTTCGGCGCTTGACATAGCATGCTGACTGGATTCTGGATGCGAAGTGACGGGGTGGCCAATTGTGGAAACTTTGGTTTGCTACTTCTGTGACAAGGCATTCTGTTGAGCAACGTACTCGTAGGCATAGGAACCCACGTAAGTATCACTGCAAGAGCATTCTCACACGAGCATGCCATCAGTGACCCTTGTCGACCCAAAGATGGGAGCAGCTCTGCGTCATCTTTGGCTCACAAGCGGGTTAAGACTTTAAGACGACCTGAGAGCTGCTAGATGTGTTTCTGTTTCTAGAGCTTCTCAAAGGCGGAACTAGGAGCATTCCCTCACCTGCTTGGGGTGGGGGAGCGAGGGTGAGTGGGGGGGGGGTGGGGTGTGAGGGTGGAGTGCGATTTTCTGCACCAACCAACGAAAGCAACTTTGAGGGGGAGCAAAATGGGAGAAGCGAAAAGGTGTGAATTCTCGTGCCAAACCCCCAACCCCCACCCATCCCCAACCCTCCCAACCCTCCCAACCCTCCCAACCCTCCCAACCCTCCCAACCCTCCCAACCCTCCCAACCCTCCCAACCCTCCCAACCCTCCCAACCCTCCCAACCCTGCCAACCCTGCCAACCCTCCCAACCCTCCCAACCCTCCCAACCCTCCCAACCCTCCCAACCCTCCCAACCCTCCCAACCCTCCCAACCCTCCCAACCCTCCCAACCCTCCCAACCCTCCCAACCCTCCCAACCCTCCCACCCCTCCCAACCCTCCCAACCCTCCCAACCCTCCCAACCCTCCCAACCCTCCCAACCCTGCCAACCCTGCCAACCCTGCCAACCCTGCCAACCCTGCCAACCCTGCCAACCCTCCCAACCCTCCCAACCCTCCCCACCCTCCCAACCCTCCCAACCCCCCCAACCCCCCCAACCCCACAACCCCCCCACCCATCGGCCAAGCGCCAAGCTTATCCGAAAATCAGAGCTCGGAGCTGTCCGGGCCGCAGGTGCTCCGTTGCAAGAGCCCGTTGCCATGGGCGCCAACATCATCATGAACACTCAGGCGAGGGCTCGCGGTCTTTCCAGTTCCCCTCAAAGGATGGTTGGAGCCAAAAAGTTCAAATGAGTTTTTTTCCGGTGTTACTGGGGAGTATAGGAAATCCTGTGCGAGGTTTAGTCACTATTTGCTCTCAGTTTTATGGCCAATCTGGGGGCGGAACCCACATGTCCAATGTCCAGTAGGACTTTCCAGCAAGTTTTTGCCCTTGGCAATGTGGCATTGAAACAGGCCTTCGCCTCCTGGGTGTTTGTTAAAGGCAACCAAGACGTGGGCCAAACAATTTGGCAGGCACTTGCTTGTATGTTAGTCAATGTCCACGTTTGTCCATGATTGCAGGAAAGAGGGAAACATGTTTCCCAGCCTGTTTTCACTTTCTGTGAAACCACACGAACCCCTCTTCAAAGTCATCAAAGAGTCAGGATGGGAACAGTCATAGATTTTAAAAGCCTGAAATGGGGATGTCCAAGGATAATGTTGACGCTATATTGATCAACCCCAGTTTAATCACAGGGAGGGTGTCCCGACGTTCAGTGGTTGGAATCAGACCACTTTTGGAGGGGAACACCCTACGCATTAATAAACAGGATGGTTGCTGAATATGGGTATGGGTCAAATTCAAACCACCAGGGGACCACAGGTTTTATTCCATGTTTTCATTTACCGATCGGGCAAGCCATTTTGGGGTTGCCCGATTTTTGACCCACAGCCATATGGGGTCAACAAGAAGGAAACCAGCCTTCGCGTTTGGTTTCCTTTCCCGGTTAAAATCACCAGGAGGAGCTCCGCGACGCGAGCCGCGACCTGCAGTCGGGGTATTTCGGGCCCAGCTGGGACCACACGGAGGATGACGCCGAGTGGCTGAATGCGGTGAGCCAACATTGGCGATACATGACGCAAGCCTTCAAGTGAACGCGGCAGGAGGAGGGGTACTGCTGTACTGTTGCCTGGTTTGGTTCATTTGCATCAGCCAGCCTTTTGCTGGCTACTCCCACAGATTGTACAAAGCCCGGCGAGCGGACTCTTTCGGTCAGAAGGCATGGGTTTCTTTGGGTTGGGGCCGGAGATGTCTGCGGAAGGCTCGGATGTTGCAACTTCGAACGAAAGAGGCGGGGGCCGGAGACTCGCGATCGGTGTGGGTCTCGATCGCTCGCGATGACAGCGCTCGTCGAAAAGGGCAGCTATCGATCGGGTGGGATCGATCGCTGGGAACTTGTGAGACTTCGCCAAACCGCGAGTTGAAGGTCTGTAGCAGTGTCCTGGGAACAGATCCTTGTGCAAGGCCTTCTGTTTTTTGACTTCTTGACAAGTTTGGATTGCTCGCATGTTTGTGAAATGCTGGTCATATGGGTCTGCCTCAAAATGACAGAGACCTGATGCAACCAAAGGAACCATTTAGATGGGGTCACTTTTTTTTACACACACACACACGTCATGATGTCCACGTGTTTGGTGTGTAAGCTAGCCCAACAAGCTCTGCGTATATGTATATATATATATATACATATTCGTATAGGTGTGTGTATATACAAACATATATAAATATAGACAGACACATGCATATTTATATATGTATATAGAATAGACACACACGTATATAGTTCCAAAATATAGCGTACTGGTATAATCAAAATGAAGTTTAGAAAAAAAAAGAGAAGAACTTCTGCAGAGTCGTGCAATGAAAGAGAGAAAGTACGCAAGACATGGGAAGAATAAATAAAGGAAGGAGATAGAGACGAAAGGAACTGTGTGGCAGGCGTAATATTGCGTTTGGCGAGATCGCGAAAGCTAGCTCTGTTCAGCGCACAGGTTCGCCGCGGGTTCGCTCGCGGTCAGGCCGCGAGCTCACCGAGGGTTCGAGCCGGTCTGGAGAGTTGCCCAAGCAAGGATTGTGTTGCGTAGCAGGCGCAGCACTTTCGCAAGGTCAAGTAGAGATTTCGTGGCAGGCGCAGCACTCTCGCAAGGTCAATTACAGACTTCGTGGCAGGCGCAGCACTGTCGCAAGGTCAATTACAGACTGGCAGGCGCAGCACTTTCCGCACGGTCAAGGGCAGTTTCGTGGCATGCGCAGCAAAGTCGCAAGGCCGGGTGCAGATAGATAGATAGGTAGATCGATCCATAGAAATAGATAGAGAGGAAAGCAAGAAAAAGGAAACAAAAGAAAGAAAAGAAAGGAAGACAGAAAGAAGCATGAAGAAAGAAAGGAATAAAGAAAGGAATGAAGAAGCAAGAAAGAAAGAAAAAATGGAAGAAGGAAAGAAGGGAATGCTGAAAGATGGAAAGACAGTAAGAACGAAAGAAGGAAGGACAGAAGGAATATTTTTCAGAAAGATACAAAACAAGGAAAAGGAAGACAGAAATAAATAAATAAAGGAAGAACGAAAAAATAACCCGAGACGGAAAGAAACAAAGCACGAAAGAAAGGAAGAAAGAAAGAAGATAGCACAGACAGACAGCAAGAAAAGAAAGAAAAACAGGAAGGAAACAAGGAAATAACGACAGCCGCAGCATTGTTAATGTTGCACTTCTGCACTTTCGGCAGGCGCAAGCTTTTACGTTGTGTTTGGCTTTCACGTTCTTGACTTTGTGTCCGCAGTCATTTCTGGCTTGAGTCACCCACATGCTGCACACAATTACACACTATCAGCCAACACTGCACGACACTACAGCAAGTCACACAACGCACAGTCATGCACGCGCTGAGTATTTCCCCCGTGGCGTCGTCTGATGCGTTTGCTGACCTTGAAAGACAACTCTTGAGCGCCTGCAAGCAGAGGGCAGCTCTAGTTTGTTCGCGCTTGTATCCCGCCGTGGCAGCAAAGCCGGAGACACTGCGAGGACTAGGCGTTACAAGTTCTTGCGATCCCAGTGTCATCTGTTTGACCCCGAACAAGAACCGCGGATGCAAGCATTGGAGGCGCAGATTTGCGTCGACGCTGTTGGTGTATTCTAGATTTGGCTCGCAGAGAACCAAGAGCAACTGCAAGCGTATGCCCAGCCGTCTCTCCAGAAGTTCAGCAATCTCCACGCAGCCAAAAACTATCCTTGTTTGAAAAAAATACAAAGCTTCTGCGCGGCCACAACGTCGTTTTCAAGAGCAGCAGCAGCAGCAGGCTGGGATGTGGGAGGCCATCATTTGCAGCGAGGCGCCGGCAGTTCAGCCGCGTCTCCAGCCTCAAATCAATGCTTTCTGCCACTGGCTTGCCGATCGCGCGCAGCACTAAGACGACGCATGCTTAGATGAAACTGTAGAATTTCATGCGCGCTGTGAAATTGTCTTCTTTGGTGAAAACACTCCTCGTCACCCCTTCAGAAACTTCCATCATCCAGCTTTGCTGGAGCATACCTGGTAAAAAAATCACGCACGCATAAGCACATATCTACATATACCTCCCGATGTGTATAAATACACATCGTGCACATATCGTTTCATGGTGGCGCGCACACACACACACACACGCATTTGTCTGTATAAACATACACATAGAAACACATATGCATATGCAAAACGCATTGCATACGTATATGCCTACAATATATATATATACACATGCGGGAGGCGTTTTTTGTTTGTTTTTTTCTCCGACTTTCGGGGCAGCCGCTTGGGGCAGCCCAGGTGTCTGAAGAGCTGCCTTTGGAGCCGGAGCTTCGGCAGTTGCTGTTGGCCTTGCCGAGGCGCTGCTTGCGGGTTTTTCTGCCGCTTTCTCGGCGTCACGATTGATCGTCGTTGGCTGGAAAGAGTTGGAAGGACCCGTGGAAAAACAAACCATCCGAGTTGATTTCTGTTTTTAAGGGAACCCCCAAACGGTTCAGTTGGAATGACTCCGAAAGTTCCGGTTCGACGGGGAATGACAAACTGGAATGACTCCGATATTAACCATCCATTCGATTTGGTTTGCATTAAGGACATCGTTCGAATGATGGCCAAAAATGCAGCGTGGCAAAAGAACATGTAATGTTTCAAAGGTGGAGCCGAACCTTACCCCCTCCAGGTCACAATGGAACCAAATAATGTACTTTGAGGAGGTTCCTTGTGTGGGAGTCTTTTTGGATTCCATCTTAAGTTGCAGCTCACCCCGAAACAAAACCGTGTGTATGGTCCTTAGCCCATCCTAAACCCAGCCTCCAAACCAAACCCCAAACCCCCCTAAACTGTTCGCTCGGAATATCTTGTACTCAGAACCGCGCAACCTGGGCAACCCACAACCTCCCCCCCCAAACAAAATGAAAAAATAAAAAGAGAAAAGACGACAATCACAAGAACATACCTCATGGCACCGATACCAAAGCAGCGGAAAGCGTGCAACTCTCGCTTTCGCTTCCTCAGACTTCGAGGCTGGCGCCGGTGCTTCAGTCGCGGTTCTTGACGCTGGCGCGACAGCTGCTGCAGCACAGAAGCCGAGAGAGCCTCGGCAGGCTTAGAACCCCGATTTTTTGTTGGACAATCGTGAAGCGTTTTTGTTGGACAACTGTTGGGGGGGTGGTTAAAAGCGGGGACCAAAGGGACTTCCCAGGCATTTGGAGGGTTCTTGGGTTTTCTTACTTTGACACATACCCATATTTTTGGCTTTTAGGGTACCGTTTTGGGAAATGACATCTTCTGCTCTTGAAACATGAGGCATTTCTTTTGGAGACAAAGCGGGGAGACCTACCTGATTTGTTTGGGGGAGACCACCCTTATTTGCACCGCAACCAAAACTTGGCTACATGCAAGTTACGTTGCGGTAGACAGTCCCGACTCCTGACCAACCATAGGTGCCATCAGTTGGATTTTTTTATGGCCAGGTGTTAACTATGGCTTGCGTCTCAGGGCCTGACGTTATTTTAATATGCATATTCTTGTCAGAAGTTTTGGGTATCCCCAACAGGGCCCATCTTATATGAAGCCGCGACCTCACAAGGGGCTTGCGACCTCGGCCCCAATGCTCCTTGAGCCTCAATGTTCTGGTTGGAGATTAAAAAATCAGTTCAGCCCGAGATGTCTCTCGTTTTCGAAGGTGCGATCTTTGGGGATTCTTGAATGAAGCGCTTGGGTGTGCTTGAAGTCCCTGAAAAGCTATTAGGGTATGGCTCAAAATTTTAAGAGCTAGGGTTACGCAGGTGTCAGTCTTTGGTTCCATGTACCAAGGTGCCATTTTGGTACATTAGTTTTTTGAGCCACCACCATATTCTGGCAACTTACCCTTTCCCCAAACTCAGCGTGGACTTGAAGAACTGGACATCGGAAGACATCGGTCTGAGTTGTGTGGAGCAACCCGGTACTGCACTTGCCTTCGGCTGGGAAAGCAGCTGATCCCTGCAAGGCTTGCGCTCGATCTTGCGTCAGATCGCCGCAACCGGACACATGTTGCGGGGATTTGATGCTCCGTGCCGTTCAAGATGAGGAAAGAGCCCCCGATAGAAACAAACTCATCTCTGTTTTTTCCTTCCCAGAGGGACCGAAACATACCTACCTCCAGCCTTCAAGCAACTTTGTACTGGCTGCTCTTGAGAGGAAGACAGCTAGCTTCCAGGAAGATCAATCAGACTTGAAGCGCTTGTTCACCTTCAACTCAGCTAGACCCAAAAGGGCTACCGTAAGTTTGGTGCTTCTAGGGAAACCCGAGCTAGGGCGATTGAGATATGAAACGCAACTTGACGGCTTGCATTATTTTCCCTTGTGTCGGAGGAAGACTTCAACTAGGTTGTGCTAAGTTGTGCAAGGTCATGGACGAGACACCCCCGTGTTTGCTCTTGTTCCAATAGGTGGAACTCTCCACCTTTTCCTTGGGAGCTCCGTTGTTTTCGGTTCGTAGTAAGTTCCCCAGAGATTCATCCATTCAGGTGGAACCTCCCAGTTCTTCACCTTTTTGGCCTCGCCGGCCGCAATAAAAAAGCTCCCGTTGGGTTTCCCAGCCTCCAGGAAGCTTTTCGTGGCCGACGCCTTGGTCGAGCTCAGAGGCGCGAGTTGCCTCGGCGCCGCGCGATTGCCACGACCGAACCCGAGGGGTTCGATCCTTCTCGCAAAGAGGCAAGCCTTACATCAACGACTGAAAAAGAATCGGACTGAAAAGTAATCAGGGATAGGAGAGGGGGTCTTTTGTAGGACGCTGTTCCAAAGCCCAGCTTTTGTGATTGAGGGCGGGGTGTTTGTGGTTGGTTCAGCTAGATGGGTTCACCCCAGCTTTTCGACCCCTCGACTCGAGGCTTCGCACCCTTCCTGCGGAGCTGGTCGGACATGTTGGACGAGGGCGACGGCCTGGAGGCCGCGGCGGCGGCGAGCTGCGAGGCACGGCTCCATCGACAGCTGCGGGCTTCGTTCGTCCGCACGGCATCGACGGTTCTTTTTCTCTCAATGGGCAGCCGCGACTGAGACAAACTGAATCCAAAAAGCAGGGGACCAAGATGCCGCCCCCTAGCCAACATTGAGAGGTTTTTCGCGGGGGTTCGGTCGTGCTGAAAAACATCTGCGAGATGTGTCTGGTTTCTGTGAACATCGCAGCTCCGACTCAGCGGGGTGAATACGCCCCACCTGTGGTACTTGTGTTTTTGCTTGCGGGTCGGGGGCGGGTTTTTGGGTGAAAGCTTGGAACCGACCCGAGCCACTAATCTGAGTCAGGATTTGGGGAAATTCTGGGAGGATGATTGTTCATCTCTCCTTGGCGGCCAGAGGGTCAAATGTCCAACCCGGTGATTTGCTGGCTTGGTCTGAGTTCGCGACTTCCGGCGTTGGGAAGCCATGGTTGCGGCTGAGATCAATCAACCCCTTTCCGTCTAGCTCGTTAAGACGCCAAGGCGTCTATGTGGTGGGGGTCTTTCCGCAAGTATTGTCAAATTCGTTTCGGAGCATGAGGGGAGGCACAACAACCAAAATATTGTCAGTGTGTTTGATCTGCAGCTCAATATGTGTCATTTTGCCTGGTTCTCTAGGAGGCTTGGCTTGGCGTTGCCATCCCAGGCGTCTGGCCATGTTTTTCGTGGCTGTGTTGCCATTTCAATCGGTGACTCCAGTTTTGGGCTCCTGGCCCAGTGGGCTCTGGAGGCCTTGCGTTGCGCTTGGTTTCTTGAACCCAGGCGGTATCCCCAGCATCTGGGTTGATCACCAGGCCAGTTGGGTTCACACAATGGTGTCAACCCAGCATTTGGCGGTTTGGGCGAGTTGCATCACCAGGCCTTTTTGCGGACTTTCTCCGGCAGAAAGGTACAATGCTGGCTGCATCCCAGAATCACCAGGACTCGTAGTTGCTGAGATGCAATTGCATCATCGGCTGGATTGACGGGAAGCCAAAGGAGACTCCACATTTCCGAGCTTTCTATGTTTGGAGCCAAACCTTTCCAGTTCTCAGCCGACTCTTAGAGCTTCATACTTTAAGGGGGGCTTTAGAGGGATCAGCGAACCCCCCGAGGCCAAAAATTGGGCGCGCGCCAGTTCTCGCGCCAGGTGCTGCTTGCCCTTATGGCGCAGGCGGGCCCGGGGATCTGGGGATTTGGGGACGGGTTCACCCTATGACCACGCCCCCCCCGAAAAGCCCGAAAAGGAGTGAGTCATGTTGACCCCAGAAGAAAATGAACCCCTGCTAATATGAGTATGGGGGTGCTTTTCCCTGGCTTTTGTGGGGATAGAAATCACTCTTGGAGGGGAAGACTTCACGCCGCGTAGCTTTCCTGCAACTCAGCCGGAAAAAAGCCGAGCTCGCCGTGAAACTAGAGGTTGTGCCAGGGCTTCATACTTTGATCATGTGAACGGACGAGAGGTGCAGTGGCCAAGTTCTTAGACGTAGCAAATTGGACCGTAACCATAGATGTGGCCCTTCTCACTTCACTCTTCACGTTTGGGTAGACTCCGCTAGCACCGATTCTGATTCTCACTTCATTTGAAACAGGATTTCACATGTTTCCCTTTCTGGCGATTTCATATTTCCAAGGAACTTGCCCTCCCCTCTTTGAAAGACCAAGCTTCACGCAGGGCGCCTCTGGGCGTAGCTTTTGGGGTCTGGGAACTCTACCCACCTGGCTCCGCAGCCCTTATTTTCCAGCTACTTTTGCCAACTTCTGGGCTAGTGGGTAAAGTGGCTGAACAAAAGTGGCTACTTGGGGAACTCTACCGCAGCTCTCCTATGGTTCAGCTACCCCCAAAGACGTCAGTTCCTCGTGACTCTCGCTCGAGTTGGACCAATTGCCGCAGGTCCAACGCCTGGACAACAAGGCCCAGCGCGCAAGGTTCTCGAAATCGGGCGGTGGCGTAGCCAGCGCTTGGGCGATGGGCCTGACATGTCCGAGCTGGAAGTGGAGCATTTTTACTCCCAGGCATTTGAATGATGTGGCAAAGGGGGTGAACATGGCGATGTTCTCGCTCGGAGAGGTCTCTCTGCTCATTGGGTTTCTGGTTGGCCTCTTTGGAGCCCTCGCAATTTTTGGCTCTTGGCTGATTTGGGCTTCTTTCCCCCCAAATGGTGAGCTTCAAACGTTTGGGGCCGTTGAATGCAGTGGGAGAGACTGGACTGTCGGGTGCATCCGCTTAGAAAGCGAGCAGTTCCCAGGGAGGTTTTGTACACATATATATATATATATATATTATGTATATATATATATTATGTATATATATATATACAAATACACAATACATGGGTCTATGTGTACTAGCTACATATTTGTGCTTGGGGATGTTTGATATATGTTACCCAAGAAATGTGTCCACCTGTGTCTATACTCACTTGCCCAAAGCGAATCGACCTGAAATGACCTTTTGGTTTTCCTTTGTGGGTTCCCATGTTGAGTCACGGCCCCAAAACGTGATCACCTTGTATTTCTGGGTCCTTTGCGCAACTGATCTAGGGATGAATTCCCCATTCTTTCAACCATCGTTCTTTTCAAACACCGGCTGCTTTTGCTGGGTTTTTGGATTTCCTGCAAAGACGGATCCCTGGAAAGAATGGAAATGGAAGGTACCTCTGAGTATATTTCTGCAGGAGGCCTTGGCGCTGGCGCTCTTTGTCGAGGGCTTCGTGGGCAAGACGCTGCCTTCGGGGGCCACCTCCGGGGGCTTCGCGCTCTATGGCGGCGCATTCGCGCGGCGCGTCACGCGCCGCGGAGGAAAAACGAAAGTTGGGTCAGCCACGGAAGGGTCCGTTTGCTGAAATGAATGTGAGCCACAATCAAAACCCGGGCAGATGAAGGTTAGCAAGGGACGATCCCAACCATAAATAGCAGCGGCCGCCTTCTTAATCCTGGACCATTTTAGTACCAGGTTTTGATTGTGACTCATATGTTGTTTCGCATCCCTTGTTGGTTTTAAAGGGAAGCTATCACACTGGACACTTTTTTTCCAGGTGTGGAAGGTAAGGGTCCTCAAATTTTCAGGATTGGACCGTTTTCTGGTTGCAATGAGTTTTCGCGTTTTGTTTCGTTGGGATCCAGCCCCCCCGAATGCCTTATGTTGGGGATACGGGGAGGGGGGGGGGGTTAGCGGAGGAGTGGATCATGACTTCGAGGGGTCTGTGGGGAGGGGCTTATGGGGAAGGGCTTATCATCTGGGTGTGGGTCAAAATCAAACCAACAGGAATCGGACCGCAGACTTCCATGTTTCCACTTACCAGGGCAAGCCATTTTGGGGTTACCATCTGTGAATCCTTCAGGAAGGCCTTGTTCGGGGCTTATCCTTGGCTTGTCCAAACATAGCGCCAGGAGGTTGGACGCCGGGAGAAATGGTTCCCCCCACAAAATTGGGGAACCCTCAACTGATGGTTGCTGGTTTACCCTCCCCCAGGCGATTCCATGGAAAGGGACCCCGAAATGAACAACTTGGTTCGTTGGGGGGAGCTTCCGACCGGTCTGAGGGAGTGTGGCTTCAAGCAACCAAAGAATTGGCCAAAGCGCAGAGGCTGCAGCTCTTGCGCTGGGCGCCGGCGGCATCGCTGGGTCCGCAGCTGGTGGGGAAGCTGTGGCCGGCGGTGCATGCCAAGCTGAAGCGGGATGCCGGGCTGCAGCTGGAGCGGGAGATCGGGGGCAAGCTGAAGATGGCGCCTTGACCACGGAAAAAAAAGCCAGCAGCGAACCGCCGGAAGCTCCCTCGATTTGGCCGATCCGGAAAGAATGGGACGTCTTCCATGTCGCGCTTCCATGTTAAGTCGCCTGGGGGTACTTTCATGGAATCGCCTGGGGAGGGTGCATGACCGCTCGATTTGTCCCAGAAGCTGCGAAGGCTTCTTCGAAGAAAATCCGTTCACAGTCACTGCCTCCGTATCACAGTCTCCATACGTTCAATCACGTCAACTTTACATTGCCTCAACTGCGTCAATGTCACTGCGTCAGTATCACTGTCAATCACATTGCGCCAAATAGCCAACACTGTCTCAGTTCGATCGCATGGCACCCAGCTCTCTCTCCGTGTCACTGCAGGGCTCCTTAAAAGATACATTTTGCCCATTTGAAACATGGCTTTTTCCACACAAATAGAAGGAAACCACCATTTGCAAGGCAATGTTCAGGTGTATAATGTAAAGATCCCTGCACTGTCAACCACTGCTGCCACTTTCCTTTTCATTCTCAGCACTGAAGTTCTGAAGGCCCCATATTGGCGCGGGCTGGGAACGACGTGAGCATCGCACATGTGGGGGTCGGAAGAATCATGGGTTCGTTGTTGCGTTTGTCTCCCATATCAACTCTCTGCGTGGATGGTGTGGGTTTTGAATGGACCTTTAGACCTTTGGAGGATTTCCCCCAAACAGACACATTTTGAGTTCAAAATCGGTCCTTCATCCTTATTCCAGGTGGCCCTTGTCGTAGTACTGCCGCCAGGATCCGGATTTTTCCCCCACCGTTTCGAACCTAGAAACCAGCCCCCCAAGACGCCCCGAACCCGCACGTCTCACTTCGGACTTCGCCTCACCGCCGGAGGTGTGGTACAAGTTGAAGCCTTCCTCTTCTCTGAAGAAGGGCCTCGGCGCCTTTCACCCGGAGGAGCTCATTGCAGCGGTCCTGCAGTTCCGCGCATTGAATCCGGGGGCCCGAAAGGAAAGGTCCGTTTCCTCCTTTGTTTCCTCCTTTTGGATGGGGGTAGACCACACATGAAAGCTAAGTCAAGATATGGGTGGTGTCTCCAAGTAGGATTTGGGCCCCTTTCGGTTGGGTGGGATGAGAAACCACGTTAGAGGTCTTTTTGCGCATTCTTCGGGGAGGCCGATGGTCAACACTGGGTCCCTGAAAGTGGTTGAGTTGTGAGGGGCTCTCCAAATTACTTCTGTGTCTAGACGCCCGCCTCGGCCAGGGGCTATTTGACTTAGAGGCTTCCTTTGATCTCCGCTGTTACTCCAGTGCGCAAGAAACGATGCTCAAGAAAGCATCAGCTGCGTAAAAGCATCTGCTTGGCTGAAGGCAGCGCATCCGTAGTCTAAGGGCCAGAGCTACAGCCATAGTGCAGAAGTTTAAGGGCGATGTGACGCCCCAAGAACTGAGGGGCTCGCTTTGACGCAGCTAAAGGCAGCTGAGCAGCGGTGAAAAATCCCATGAAGCAGCCTAGTCTGTGGGCACTAGATGGATTCTGGAGGAAGGAAGGATTCATTGCGCGGAAGGTCGTGGAAGCTTGTGCGGGGCATGTGGCAAGTTTTTGTTGCCGTGGAAGCAACACCTCATGCCGCGGAAGGTTACGGCAGCCCCATGTCATGACAGCTTGTTGTGTTGATTTTGGCCACCGCTTAGGTGGAGCCGAGAGCTGGGGGGGGAGGGGCCTAGGGAGGCTTGGATGAAGGCTGGACATGAATGCGCCCAGCAAGCTACAGCCATAGTCCAAAGCCCTAAAAACTGAGAGGCAGCTGCGGCCAATTTGGACTTGACACACTCATGCTCAGCCAGCTCCATGTCTCCGAGGCCCAAAAGCAAAGGGCGGGGCTGGGTGGACTTGAGGGAGGGAGTTTTGTAGGGGCTCCCTACATGCAAGTGAAGATGTTCACCACAAACCATCGCAAATTGAATTGTGCCAGCGTACACTTCGAGCCTGTTTGCAGGCCGAAGCCGCAAAAATCTAATGCCCTAAGGAAGGAAGCTCGTGTGTGCGCCATAGCACGCCCTTCCCAATGTTGAAGTAGTTGCCTAATTTGGTTTCGGATCACTTCTTTTATACAAAGAGAGAGAATCCCTAAGCTTGAAGGGGACAAAGTAGTCAATGTTTGTATCACCCATTTCTGGGATACCTCTCTCGAAATCCGAGGTTCCTGGTGACCCACCTCCAGGTGAGCTGCGAAAGGAAAAGCCACGAGTTGGGCGAGGGGTTGGGGCCCCGGCACCCCGCGGAGGAATGGGTTCAGGACCGCGGATGGGGTTTCAACTCAACCGGACGTCAGGTTGTTTCAAGGCAGTTAGGGAACAAACCAAAGGCCCCTCCTTTTGGAAAGATTCGCGAGTTCTGAAGCAAGGGAGCGCATCTGCCCACGCTTGCAGGTTGGGACTTGCTCATCCCGCCCCATAATAGAATCAGTAGCACTTGAAAACGGGCCTGCGAAAGTGTCTTTGCCCTTTGATTAGTTGGGTTACAGGTAAGGTTGGGCAAAATCGCCTGAACAGACAGACCCTAGCCCCCGAAGACCTGTGAGCCGCGCGGCTCGGCAATCGCCGAAATCGCTTGACACTTTGAAGGCATTCAATACTGTGCCCCCAAATAATGCCAATGCCTGGGATCTTGGCGCCCTCATAAAGTCCACGGGGATGGCCCACTTGCGAGGAGGTCTTGGACCGACCCTTCGGCTGGGGGGTGCTGGTGCCGCTCTTGGTGGCGCCCTTGCCAGCGGCCCAGGAGGCCACTGACATAGGATACGCTGAGCGCAAGATGGAGGAGGGGAATCAAGGGATTATAACTTTTCGGGTTTGCGGCGAATCTGTGGTTTCACCCTTGTAGGATATGACAAACGAGGCAAACTGTTTTCTAGACGGTGCCAGTTGTTGCTTCCCTGGGCTTCCCTCGCCTCTGTTATACACGATCGTCCTCTCCTCACATATTTGACTCTTTTTTGTCTTCTACGCACATATTTTTGCACCGGCTGCCTTTGGCAGGATATACATCATTTTCGGGCCTTCTCACGTTTCATTGCACATGTCCTGCGAGCAATGTCGAGGTGTAGATCCATGCCGTTACCAAGATGCAAGCACAAAGGGTCCTTACGAACTTCTTTGAGTGTTTAAGCCGGAGCAAACACCTCATTAGAATGCTCTTTGTGAGTGTGAAGCGGTGGGCGTTCTTCGCGAGTCCTGCAGCAATTGCGGGTCAATAGCAAATCGAATTGAACAAATACACCACATGATTAAAATGCAGCTCTGTGTGGAGCAATTCTCAGTTTCAGAGCCAACATCATACGCACCTTCAACATGAGCCCTATAGCCAGCCAGCCTGGCGCAAGCACAGTCCTTTCACATATTTCATGTGATCCTCATCTGCCATTGTGTGCTCAAATCTTGCATTAATGCCTCAGCACACGAAAAAACGTTCATGCTGGCACCAAAATGCAAACCGCACAGGAAAATACACGAGCACACAAACGCACAAGCACACACACACACAACACCATTTATAATACACACACACACATATACATACACACATACACACATGCGCAGAAACACGCACACACACAGACACACACACACACACTGGGAATGCCACGATGGCAGTTCAACCTTGCACATTCTACAGTCAAGCGTGAGGTGGGGCAATTGGAGCTTCTCTCATTTGAGTTGGTTCTCGCAGGTATGTCGAGGTGATCAGCCTTGATACCTGCATTTGCTGTGGCCTCTGCGTTGGACCATTGAGCATGGCAAATCGATGGCCCCCCTGCTTTGAGTTACGCACTGGCTTTTTTTGACACACACACACGCACAAAGGCCTGATCTTCCAGGCGGTGCGTTCTGTAAATAACTGCCACGTTTGGCTGAAGCTGGGCGCAGCGCAGGGTGTCTGATTACTTTTTCTTCGGGCCCTGGGTCAGGCATGTGCAGCCTCTTCGGCTAGACACTGCCTTTCCAGGAAAGCAGCCTCTGCAACCATGTCTGGAAATGGAACGGAAAGGGCCCCGGAACGGAAAGGACCCCGCAACAGATTTCGTTGTAACAGTGTCTTCGGTGTAAACTGATCATTCGTTGTAAACTCTGTAAGCGTCCAACCTCGGATCCGGATGGGCGCCTTGTGCTCAAAGTTGATATGCAAAAACCAGCCTGCCAAGTAGGCCACGACTGCATCTGTAAAAGTGCCAAAAAGGATCCAGCTGGTAAAATTATCCGGCTCGCATTCAGAGACCTTCAGCAAGATCTTCCAGCAGGCAAGCTGCTAGGGCTGTGCGCTTTGGCAAAAAACACCTGGGAATGCCACGGTGGCGGCTCAACCTTGACATTCAGTCAAACATGAGGTGGGCATTTGCAACTTCTCTCATTTCGATTGGTTCTTGCAGGTTCGTCAGCCTCTGTTCGCATTTGCTGCTGCCACTTCGTTGGACCATCGCGTACCGTAACATGGATGGTCCCCCTGCTTGAAAGACGCGCAGCTGACACAGCTGTGGCACACACAAGCATACGCAAACACAGACACACACACACAGACACAAAGACACACACACACACACACACGCAATCTCGCACACACACACACACAAAAAACACACATACACAACACAACAAACATACACACAGACACACTCACAAACACAAACACAACTGCACAAACAAGAGCCACACACACATGTACACATGCACACACTCACACACACGCAAAAATACACACAAACCACGACACACACACACACACACAAACATGCAAGCACAACAGAACACGCGCGCACACACACACACATATATATATATATATTGCGTGAGCCTGAAACAGTGAATGCCAGGCCCAGTGGCCTCCCTCCACCATCTCTTGAATTTGATGATGGATTGCCTTGCTTTCAGCGGAGTCTGACCATGGAGCAAGCAGATTCGCTAAGCAACTCCTAACTGCAGCCCAACAGCATGGCATTTCGGAATTTGCACTCAGTTCAGCTCATTTTGCCTGCGCGGAATGGCTCATGAGGACGGGGCAGGGGGAATTGGGATTCCAACAGCGGACTGGCTTGTGTGCTCCGGCCTCACAGATCGGCGAGATAGCGCCTTGTACAGATTCAAGTAGGCCAGGCCTTTTCGCTCGATGTCTGCAGCTTCGGTACTGGTCCTCATGATCAAAGAACAAAAATATGGTTGAAAACAGCCCTCTCAGTATTGACCTGTGGTGCTGTCCGACCCAACCATTGCAAGGGTTTATTGAGGTGTACCTGAGTCTGTGGCAAATAGCGCCCCGCGCGTTCGATTGCGGTGATGAAATTGTTGCCATTCACCCTGAGCAAGAAGCCGGATTTGAACTTGAACTTTGGAGCACACACATGGAGTACACATGTGCACCACTGCACATATCGATGCTAAGAACCTTGCAAGCATCCAGCAATCAGCTGGTATTCTTCGTTCATCGGGAACGCTGCCGCCAGGTCCGATGCACAAGCAGCCAGCCAGGCACAAATCACGCGCCCGTTGTATGCTTTGGCTGTCATCCAGGGCTCCTGGCCCTTGTAGAAAACCTGCAGCCGGAAATAAACCCGCGTGTGCAGGCTTGACCGCATGATAAGCACACCCGCTCAACTGCTTCAGCCCAGTCTTCTCGTTAACGGCGGGGTGTGGCATGATTCACATACCCGCTCAACTGCTTCAGCCCAGTCTTCTTACTGGGGGGGGGAGGGCCAGGGAAAAAAACAGGGGCATGAAAAGCAAACCCGCTCGCGCCTAGTCCAACCAAGCCAGTGCAGGCAAGAGAAATTGAGAGAGCACAGAATGGTTCTGCAGAACACGCGTGCGCCCAAGCAGCCGAAGCAGGATAACAAACGACAAGGCGCCGGCAACGAGCAAAGAGACAGACTGAAAGCCAGTACTGTCTGCATAGATCCACAACTATTTTTCTGAGAGGGGGTTTTGCACTTACTGGGCCCCGACAAAACTGGTCCCCCAAAATGTTCGAAATCCTTCTAACCCCCAAAAAAGAGGTTTTACCAGCACCCCAAAGCACTACAAGGGGAATACTTTTCAAATGTCAAGCGCTGCGAGCGTCTTATGCATTTGCGTAGCCCCTAAAACTACTGGTCCCTTTTGCAGGGTGGCATGCGCAGGTCCACAATTGCAGCAGCCCCGAAAAGCGTACGCAACACAAGGTGCGTGGAGAACATGGTGCCTGGGACACGGGTGGGTACGTGGGTGCGTCGGTGGGCGCATGGGTCTGCAGGTGGGTACGTGGGCGCATGGGTGCCTGGGTGAGCACGTGGGTGCGCGCCCGCGTGCACGTGGGTGCATGGATGCTTGTGCGAGCGTAGGTGCGTGGGCACGTGCGTCAGTGGCGTGAGGAAAGCAGGCCACAAGCGACAACAAACGCAGGTCACAGGCGACGCACCGCCCCTATAGCTAGAAAGTAGACACACACAAGTTGTCTGCAAGGTTGCACAGCTGCTTTACATTGTCCAAGCTGCAAGGGATGGTGTAAACATTGGCTGGCTGCATTGGATGCGATTGGTCTTTTTCCATTGCTTGAAGTGGCGGAACGCGTGCTTCAAGGTGTCCTTGATTTTCTCCCCCTCGCACCAAAAATTGGCTCGATGAAGGACCACCCTTAGCAGGAGGAATGTGTGATTTGCTTTTTGAAGGGAGGTGAACTGGTAAATCCATGCGGCATGTTTCAGGTGGTTGAAGCAACGCCATAATACTTGATTGCAACCAGGCCACATTGCAGCACCATTTGTCCGCTGTATGGTCCCCAAATGGAAGTTGTGAGCAAGGCAAAACCGTACCATCGTATGATGGAAGCCAGCAATCGCGAAGAGGGGGCCTGAGTCGATTTTCGAAATGTTCTCAAAGTCGGCATTGAAACATGCAAGGGTATACCGTTCTTAACGCTTCCAATCATTCAGCAAAGTTATATAAGCTACCGGGTTTCCACTAGAAAACATCTTTAATTGCCCCGTGCAAAAAAAGCAGATCCCTTATTGCTGCATCGCAATAGCATCCCGAGACAGGATCTCTCTGCAAGACCTTTGTAAGATCTCTAGGATCCGCGATAGATTTGTTTACAGTTTTTTACAAGCCGTCGAGGCTAGCGGCGCTTGTTGCAATGATGATGCGTTGCACGCAAGGTGTCCTCAACGCACCCAGCAGCCTCTAGCTGTTTGACTTGTTGATTAACGCTGGCATGACCAGAAGTCACGTTTAAAGCAATCCTCCTTCAGCTAAGGGGGGCCTCTACAACTGTGGGAACCCAATTGCAAGTGACGCCAGCGTGTATCCCCCTGCAGGACCACAACGCGCTCAAGCTCATCAGCCTCTGGCCGGGGTGCTCAAAACATCATTGCGACAATAACGGTTGGTCGACGTTACAGTCGACTGAAACTAGAGCTCCGTCCAATTAAAATGGCAATGCTGTGCGAACATTGAACTACTCTCTCAATTTGACTCAAAAACAACAAGTGATGAGTTTGACTGTTTCATCTGGATGCTCTGTGATGTAGGTCCAGGTGCCCTTCCCCATTACAGCCAAAGGCGCAAATGGGCCCTGGCCTAAGCATGGTGTTTAGGAACTCAATGTGGCTGACTTTGGTAAGCTCCCAGCCCGGGTTTTTGCTGTAGTCCAAGTACGTAGCGCCTAGTCCCTCATTCGTAGCAGCAGCCCGTGGGGCTTTCGCCCTGCAACGAAAGCACATTGAGTTGGAGTTCCACCGGTTGCGTAACTGCAACGCATCGCAATGCCAGCTCCAATCTCCACGGAGTTCTGTAAGAGCAAACTGAAGCCCCCTGCAAATGTAGTCGGCTTCCCCATGATGATCAGGTGACCTCTGTAGACTTTTGGGCAGCTTTTTCCCACGAAAATCAGAAGACACTTTCACTCCCAAGAAAAGGATGTTGAGCGCCCATGTGAGGTACTGGAAGATCGGCCACAAGGTGCGATGCCCCAGTGAGAGCGACTCACGCAAAGAGAACAGCACGAATCTGGAGTTCCTTGCACTCTTCGGTCTCCACAAGGGGCAAGAAAGGTTGAGGACAACCACCTTCTCCACACACCCTT